CAAAGCTTTTCGAAAAACTTATAAATAAAGACAGATTATGTTAAAAAGACTCATGTTAATTTATAGAATCAATTGTAAGCTTGAAATTTAGTCAAACCGACATTATAAACATTCACCCAGTACTCATCACTTCCAAAGACCAATTAGCCAATTTCTATACCATACTATTACTTCCACAACCCCTTGACACTTTGTTAATGAAGTTGAATAGATATCTATCAACCTTCCAATTGTAGGTTATGTTACACCAAAACACCCAATGCAATGAAGATAATAATTCAATGAGATTAGAGCCGGTAATTAATTACAAAAGTTATTAACGATTGGTACTTAATGCAGATTATAATGTGTTGTGTGCTAGAACATATTAGCTTAGAATGTAGCATTGCAATTCTAAATAACAATGTATTGATCAATATTGAATAAGAAAGAAGCCATTTTAAAATTCTTATTTTAAATCTCATACTACATACATTCATTCACAGATAATAACGTAATTTCTAAACCACTTCGTGATTGCTCTTAAGTACATATTTTTCATTTAAAAACAAATTATAAATTCATTAGAAATAACATTGTAACCGCACGGTAGGTCCAAGCTTACAATTGAAGTTTAAAAAAAAATCGCAATAAGAGAGTCTCTAAACATGCGGTGTGGCAATAATTCATTCAGAAAACATACACACCTAAACTAACCCTTCATCCTATAAACTTCTTTTCAATATAATAACCAACACAAGTTGGACTAGTACAAGGTTACCAGATAACTCTAAACTATTCAAATTAAACCACATTAATAAGTTGAAAAACAAAAGCATAAACCAACTTAATCAAATAAACAAAAGGACTAATCAGGTTGTGCCCCAAAACCCACGACCAAATTAATAATACCAATACCAATAATCATCGAATAAATAATTATATTAATCACAAATTATGAGGTAGAACATAACCTTTAAATAATGAAAGAAAAACTAAAATTGATAAGACCAATGACTGAGAATACGACAAAAAAATAAAATAAAAACGGTAGTAGTGGATTCTTTACACACGTATCTTGGTTTGGGTTCGGATTTAGGTTCAGGTTCGGAGTCAGGTTTGGTTATGTAGACTTTTATGTAGATAAGAACGACCCTTCTCTCTATCTCTCTCATCATTTTCTCTCTCTAGAAATTGTACATTATTACCGCCTTCAAGTTCTACAAGAACCCATTCCCTCCTTCACCGCCCCAAAAACTCTCTCTCTCTCTCACATTTTTTTCAGTGTCTCCAATCAGTGTCTTCAAACTGGCGTTCGAGAATCAAGAGACAGTTCGTGAAATCAAACCCAAAAATAGGAGAATCATGGTAATTAGTACCAAAACTTCTTGAATCTAGCTCACTCTTATTTAAGGTTCATTGTTTTTGAGTTGACTTGAAAAAACCAGAGTCTTTTATTATTTTTATTTTTTAAGAATGTTGTGTTTTTGTGTTTTGTTTGTGTTTTTGAGTTATGAGTTTGATTCAAAAATTGATTTTTTTTTTTAAAGGGTGCTGGAGGACCTGATGATGAAGAAAATAATAGGTGGCCGCCATGGTTGAAACCTCTGCTGAAAGAGCGTTTCTTTGTTCAATGTAAGATGCACGCTGATTCGCATAAGAGTGAGTGTAACATGTACTGTTTGGATTGTATGAATGGTGCTCTTTGTTCTCTCTGCCTCAATTATCATAAAGATCATCGTGCTATTCAGGTTTGTTTCAACCGTTAATTCCATTGTTATGTCGGGTGTTATTGGTTTCTAATGAACCCTGTTTTTGTGTGTGTTTGATTCAGATAAGGAGGTCTTCATACCATGATGTGATTAGGGTGAATGAGATTCAGAAGGTGTTGGACATATCCGGGGTTCAGACCTATATTATCAACAGTGCTAGGGTTGTGTTCTTGAATGAGAGGCCTCAGCCAAGGCCCGGCAAAGGTGTCACCAACACCTGTGAAGTCTGCGAGCGGAGTCTTCTCGACTCGTTTCGATTCTGTTCTCTTGGTTGCAAGGTAGTTAGTTACATTGCTTAACACAATGGTTGACTTTTGTTATAACCATCAATGCTAATAAAGTGTTTATTTTCTACTTTACTATTTCTTGCTTTATCTACCATTTGAAATTTTTTGTTATTTTACTATGGACCATTTTGCATTCAGGTTCAATTTAATTTCATTGACTTGTTACAAAAGTTTTTATTGTTATTTTGATTTTTGAGTCCATGTATTCAATACTAATCAATGCGCTATGAATTCTAGATTGTTGGAACATCAACGAGTTTCCAGAAGAAGAACAAGTTTGCTTCCATGATATCAGACTCAGAGGATTCATACAGCAGCAGTTGCAGCCATGGAAAACTGAACAACAACATCAAGGTGCAAAGCTTCACTCCTTCAACACCACCACCAACTTCAGTTAATTACAGAACAGCCAAAAGAAGAAAGGGAATTCCCCATCGTGCCCCAATGGGAGGACTAGTCTTGCAATACTAGTCAACACTTCATAATTGTAGGTTATTATTGCCATAATGCCCTTAGTGGATCCAGCTTCCCTAACATCATTTCCCGCTTTCACACCATCGGAATATCTCTGATATGCGAATGCGGGATTTTTTGATTGTGGGAATCTGGGTTCGACTTTAATATATAGATATAAAAAAAATCTAAGGTATCATCTGTCTAAATGCTGATCATCAGTTCTAGTGCTAGAGCTTTTTGGTGAAAAGGGCCAGTGCTGGAAGTGTTGTTGGGTGTTAATAGTGTTTGTTTTTGTGTATATAGGAAAAATCCAATAGGAGTGGAAAAATGTTGTATAAGCAGAAAAATAAAACATCTGTAAAATACTAGTTTGATAAAAAGGAACGGTGTAGGAAAATAAGCTAAAAGTTCCTTTGGACTAAAGCTAAAGATGGTAATGACAACAGTATAGGTTGGTTTTCTAGAGTAATTATATCTAAGTTTAGGGGGGTGTAAATGGTGAAAAAAAGGTGACAATAACAGTGTTCTCTTTACAAATATAGGTGGCCTCTATCTATATGTAAAATTGTGAAATACATAATAATGCTAAATTTTATAATATCTTGTGTTTAGTATTAATTCAATTGTTTGTATTTTAAACAATAATAACCTAAATTGTCTTAATAGGTGATATCTAACTGCATAAACATGAAATGTAGTTCAGATAGTTAATCAATCAGAGACATCTAATTACAAAAACGTAATTCAGAATAATTGTGTAGAGACATTTAATCAGAAATATCATCTCATTAGAATTCACAAAATCTGTCAGTTATTTATATGAAAATATTTCTTTTAAAAATGAATCATGACAAAGTGAATTTTTTAGAGTTAAACTTTTTTGAGTGGTGATGAAAATGACATGACCCATTTATGCCGGCGTCTTACGTGGGGCTAGTCAATGTTGGGTTCGAAGTTGTTTCCACGTTTCGAGTTATGATTGGATAGCGGAAAAGCAAGGCTCATTGCTTCTCGAAAACAGAGCTTTTGTGAGCCGCCCTTTTTGTCACAAAAACTAAACGATTGTGTTGTGGGCGGCTTCGTGTGGATTGCGTTGCGTTTTAAAGACTGGGACCCACGTATAGATTTGATCCAACGGTTCATATTTAATATTCAATTAACGGCTGTGATCAAAATAGACAATCCACTACGTGGGTTTGTGGTTAAACGCACAAGTGGTGTATGGTGTAATTGTTTTGAGAATTTTCACTACTTAGCAAGGTGTTGATGGGTATAGTCCAAAGTAGTGGGAATGGAATCTATCCAAATATGTCATTTTTTTCCTTGCTAAGAAATTGAGTGCGATTTTTTTCCAAGTTTATTTATGGAGTTTTTTTGTATTGTAAATTATTTAGCGGAAATGTTTTTGTCGTCTTTAGGAAGAGAAATACCTTAACTTATTAAGGTTAGAGTCTAGGAAGGATTGAAATGAATGGCTCGCGTGATGAAGAATGTCCAAGATTATATGAAAATTATTGTTATTTGTGTTTGATTTACATGATTTTTTGTATGCGTCATTTTCAATCACATAGAATATCATAAATTCATAATCACGATCGACCTCAGTTACTTGTCCAATACGAAAAATGGAATTTGTCATGAGTGTTATAGTTTTTAGAATAAAAGAAATTCATGATATTATTGTGAACCAAGAGTTTGATATGAAATTTTAATTATAATCGTTTGCACGAATATTAGTATAATACACTCTTTTTTTTTAGATGATTTAATTTATATAATAATTAAAAAAATACTGAATTAAATAATTACGTTATGATTATAAATATAATAATTGGAATGAAATAAATATTCATGATGTTCAATAAAATATATAAATCAACACATAAAGTACTAAAATAAATATTAAAATACCTGCAATATAATGTTAATAAAATGAAAAAAAAATAAAAAAATAGAGAATAGAGAATAGTGTGATATATTAAATTTGTGGGTTAAGACTAAAGTTGTTTTAAAAGAGACTATTAAATCTATATAAGTAAGAGGATCATCTGAAACAAATGAGTCTTAATATTATTTATAATTTTAAGCCTGATTCATAATGTTGAAAAAAAGAACACCATGAAATAGCTTAAATGTATGAGCCAGAGGCCCAAAGATAATAATAATGGAGAAATAGAAGGGGAAGACAAAAGGTTTTCCTATATAATAGATTAAAAGAAATTTTTTTAGTCGGTTTGCATGTTCCAAGAACAACTTCCACCATTGTTCTCATATTATATCATGTTTCAAGAATAAATTCCGCCACTTTGTTCATATTGAGTCAGAAAATGTCAAACAAATCGCTTTTTAATCCACATAGAAGATTGATTCTTTTGATTTTCTTGTTGCATGTGTTTTGTATGTAGTTGTTTTGACAATAAGATTTAGTATGTTGTTTTCATGTTGTTTTATTTGTAGACCCCTTCAAGAGTTGACGACCGAAATAGAATGGAGACGATTGAGTAGGGAAAACGTCTTTTGTACGGCGTTAGAAAAGCGTTATGTTGCTGTAGAATGGAAGAAACAGTGGGAAGTGGAAAGGTCTACTAATGTTGTTGATGCTCGCGGGAAAATCAAACAACGTCAAGGTGGATCATCAGGTGATGATGGTTTACTCATTGATAATAAAGGGAAAAGTGTACACATAGTTGAACCGTGTATCAACCGCGTACTCAGAGATGCTAAGAGAAAAAGTGTATTATTAGCTGAACTCTCCATCGACAACAGAGTTGTTGATGGTAAGAGAAAGTTGCATGCAACTGATATTTGTCAATCACCGAAGGAGAATACGAAGGCAAAGAAAACCAGAAGCATTGAGAGGTATATATATTAATCTATAACTATATAACAACAATTTAAGGTTTACTTATAATAGATTTTATTTGAATGTTAGTGTTTATTTTGTTTCTATGGTTGAATGTGAAGTAAACATTTAAGATGTATTCATGTTATATGATTGACAGTTTTCATTAAAGCTTGTGGAATGTATAAGTTATAGTGAATGTGCAAAAATATTTTTAATATAGTATTGTTCAATCATGTTTAGAATCTAAAATTGGTATAGGATAACAATTATGAAACAAATATTGTATGATTAATAGTAAACATACATGGTCCGACGATTGAATGCATGGAATTTACTCCTATCTTTATGGAAGAAAATGAAGAAAATTGGAGTAGAACTATCACAAATGCTAAGGTTATGAGCTCCAATGTCCTGGTAAGTAATACAAGATAATAGTTGCACCAATGCCTGTAAGTTGATTAGACTTTAATGTAATTTAGTTTGATGTTAACATGTGCAGCAAATACCGTGTTGTGTGATTAAGAATTTCTTAACTGCACCGCTTAGTTCGATTGTCCTATACTATTGGAGGGTAATTTAGTATTTGTCATTTGTTGGATATTCTCATTAGGCCCTATGTGACATTTTTATCTTTACTATTTTTGTGTATAAATAGGTGTACTAGGTTTACATTTAAATTAATTTTCTTCAATCATTTGTGGCAGCTTTTAGCATTTATTCCTTTTCTCTCTTCTTCCTCAATTTCATCACCTTGCACTAATAAATTGGTATCTAGAGCTCTTGGTTTGTTCTGAAATTCTGGGAAACACGAGTGATAGTGAGCTGTGTGTTTGAGTTTTGAATCTTGAACAAAAATCTGAAACAGAATCACACTGATTCTGTGGGTTTGGGAAACACTGAGTGAGAAATCTGAGATCTGAGTTTTTGTGCAAGGTTTAAGATGAATGGAGGCAGTAGTTTGAACACTAAACTTCCAGTTTTTAATGGCAAAAACTGGAACAGATGGAAGATACAAATGCGTGTGCTGTTTGGTGCTCAGGATGTTCTGGACCTTGTTTCTGAAGGTTATGTTCCAGTTGCAGCAGATACTACTGAAGAACAAGAATCAGAAGAAAGAGCTACGAGGAAGAAGGATCAGAAAGCTCTGTTTTTTATCCATCAGTGTGTGGATGAAAATGTGTTTGAGAAGATTGTTGATTCGACGACGTTGAAAGGGGCATGGAATATACTGGCCAGATGTTATGGTGGTGGCGTGTCAGTAAAGAAGGTAAAGCTTCAGTCCCTGCGAAAGCAATATGAAAATCTCAGCATGAAGAACAGTGAGAAAGTTTCTGAGTACATCTCCAGAATGACTCTGATCACTAATGAGATGAAAGCTTGTGGAGAAACACTTTCTGAACAGATAATCATAGAAAAGATTCTGAGGTCACTTACTCCTCAGTTTGATTACATTATTGTTTTTATTGAACATTCTAAAAATCTGGAAACCATGAGAATAGAAGAGTTGCAAAGCAGTATAGAAGCGCAAGAGTTGCGTCTGACTGAAAGAACTTCTGAGAGGGAAGTGGAGCAAGCTCTGAAAGCTTATTTTGTCAAGAAGGACCAGAAGCAGAATAGACGTGGTGATAAATTCCAGAAGTCAGAAACCTCAACTTTTGATGAAAAGAAATATCAGAAGGGAAAGGAAAGGTATGACAAGAAGAAGGTTCAATGTTACTACTGTAAACAGTTTGGCCATTTTTCCAGAGACTGTAGAAACAGAGGAAGGAAATTAGAAGAAGCAAATATGGCCAGAGGAGATTCTGATGATGAACCTGTGCTACTGATGGCTTCTGATTCTGATGGAAACTGTTCAGAAGATTGGTGATATATGGACACTGGCTGTTCAAACCACTTGACTGGGAACAAACAATGGCTGATAGACTTTGACTCCAGAAGAAGAACAAAGATCAGATGTGCTGATAATAAGTACCTTAATGCAGAAGGTATGGGAAATGTCAGAGTCAGAGTGAAGAACAGATAAAACATTCTGATCAAACATGTTTGGTATGTTCCTGGAATTAAAAGCAATCTGATGAGTGTGGGTCAGCTTATTGAAAAAGGTTTTTCAGTGGTTATGAAGGACAACCTCTTGACATTGTATGATTCTAATCAGAAGTTGATTATGAAGTCTGAGCAGGGAAGCAACAGAACCTTCAAGGTGAATGTAGAAACTTCTGAAGCGGAGTGTCAGTGCAGAAGGCGCTGATGCTGGCAGTAAGCTGTGGCACAAGAGGTTGGGGCACTTGAACTATAGAAGCTTAGGGCATCTAAGTTCTAAGAAGCTCGTACATGGCATTTCGAAGATTGTGAAGCCTCAGAAGTCATGTGAGATATGCATGAAAGGCAAGCAACCCAGATTGCCATTTGCATCAGAAGTAGCCCCCAGAGCAAAGCATGCTCTGGAAGTAGTACATTCTGATGTGTGTGGACTATTTCCAGTACCTTCACTTGGAGGAAACAAATATTTTGTGTCTTTTGTGGATGAGTTCACAAGAATGACATGGGTAACACTCATCAAGTTCAAGCATGAAGTGTTTACTGAGTTCCAGAAGTTCAAGGTAAAGGTTGAGAAGCAGAGTGGTCAGAACACTACGCCAAAAATAAGTTTTAGCAGCACACATACGAAAGCGCTTTTAGGAAAAAGCGCTGCTGTAGGTTTTAAAAAAAATTCGCTTAAAAAAAGCGCTTTCAAAGGGTGCCTTAAGAAAGCGCTTTTCAAAAGCGCTGCTAAAGGTCACCCTTAGAAAGAGCTTTTGGAGAAGCGCTGCTAAAGGGTGCCTTTCAGAGGGTACCTTAAGAAAGTGCTTTTCAAAAGCGCTGCTACAGGTTAGCCTTAGAAAGCGCTTTTACAAAGCGCTGCTAAAGCTGGCCTTTAGAAAGCGCTTTTAAACGCGTTGCTATAGGACATGCTACGAAAGCGCTTTTACATTAAAAAGCGCTGTTATAGGTGATCTTTAGAAAGCGCTTTTAAAAGCGCTTTCGTAGGTAGTTTTATAATAAATATCAAAAATTTGTATCATCACTTTTCTATTGTTCTTCACGATATCATCAAAGCCCTAAACCAGATCTCTGCCGCCGTTAGCATCTGCAGATTTTCGTCACGATCACCACTTGCCACTTTTCTATTCGTCATCAGGACCTCTGCCTCCGTCTTCTTGTCAGGACCACCGGGGCAGTTTCAGGACTTCTTCATCAGAACCTCCGCCTCCGTTAGCATCTGCAGAGAGAACAACGACCACCACTTGTCACAGGAGAAACGCAAGGTGAAATCACAAAGTTTGCTGCATCAAAAATCACAACAATATACAACACAAAGTTACACAACTCAGCTCTAGGTATTTCAATTTCTAGTATAGTTTTGTATGAATAAATTGTTCTATGCTTGCTTTGATTCTAATTTATTATATTTACATACAATTAATTTGCTTCCTTACGTGCTGTTCTAATCCGTTTAAATTCTATGGTCCTGATATTAGTAGAAAACATCACATTTTCATGTGCTTTTTATTTTATCAAACATCATTTATATTAACAAGTTGTGCATTGGTAAAACAAGCTAAGAGAGAAATAATAGAGAGCGTAACAAAATATTTAATAAAGGTAGCCATATATATATTGTTAACTCTATTAATATATTGTTTTTTTCGTGTGCTTTTTATGATTGATTTTGAGCAATGATAGTTTCTTGTTTATGGTTTCTTGTGTTATACTTGTGTACTAAAGTAGTTGATAGAATAAAATGAATTTAGTGAAAAGTATTGAGTATTGGTTTTGTTATATGGTTGTGCAAGAGCAAGTGCAAGTTTTGAGTATTGGTTTTGTTTTCTAATTTATCATTTAGCTCAGATTGACTCAGAAACTGTAAACCATGGATAAGACATGGATGTATTCCAATCAATTGTCGAAAGAGTACGAGAATGGGGTATCGGAATTCGTTAAGTTTGCTGTTACGCACGCCGAAGACCCCAGTCGAATGACATGTCCTTGTTTGTGTTGCTGTTATGGGAATCGGGTTGATGCGGTTCAGTTGGCATCGCATTTAATACGGTATGGAATTGATAGAAGTTATACATGTTGGAATATGCATGGTGAGAAAAGTGACGGGAATGATGAATCGGGGGATAATAGGACCTATGCTTCAAATGACAATGGCACAGATACATACGATTATGATCGAGTTAAAGAGATTGCAGAAGCGCTTGAAGAAGATCTTAATGATTGTCCCAAAATGTTCGAGAGGTTGGTAAGCGATGCAGAGAAACCGTTGTATAATGGTTGTACAAAATTCACAAGATTGTCTGCGGTATTAAAGTTGTACAACTTAAAGGCGGGCAATGGATGGTCAGATAAAAGTTTCACAGAGTTATTAGCCCTTATGAAAGATATGCTACCAGAGGATAATGTTCTCCCCAATCGAACGTATGAGGCCAAAAAGATGTTGTACTCTATTGGCATGAGCTATGACAAGATACATGCCTGTCCAAAAGATTGCGTTTTGTTTCGAAACGAGTATGCATCGTTAAATGAGTGTCCTAAATGCGGTTCCCCTCGATATAAGAAAAAGTTATCTCCGACAAAAGTCTTATGGTATTTTCCTATAATTCCGAGATTTAGACGGATGTATCATAGTGAAACCGATTCACAACACTTAACTTGGCATGCAAATGAAAGAATTGTTGATGGAAAGTTTCGACATCCGACAGATTCACCACAGTGGATGAAAATTGATAATGATTATCCTGAATTTGGAAAAGAAGCAAGAAACCTTCGCTTGACATTGTCTACTGATGGAATGAACCCACACGGTATTCAAAGTATCTCGCATAGCACATGGCCTGTGATTCTTATGATTTATAACCTACCTCCGTGGCTATGTATGAAGCGTAAGTACATGATGTTATCTATGTTAATTTCTGGGCCTAAACAACCAGGAAATGACATAGACGTATATTTGGAAC